CTTTCCCTTCTGTTCCCACCTTTCTTCTCTCTTATAGTCCACTTGCTTCTCTGATTATAAACTCAGTGACCAGAGGGAATCTCTGCTCGTTTCCCCTTCATAGGCAGTCTGTAAAACTTTTGCAAATACTCTATTTCTGTACTTGTAGAATTTATACACAGTACTATTTCTGACCTTACAAATTAAATATCCCTTGATGTTCCTTACCTTGAGTTCCACTCAGAGTCAGAATGATAAGGCAGAAAATAAGAACAGCACTTTGATTCATGGTGCTGTGACTGGAGGTTCCTCTGCAGTAGGCTCAGAATGTCTAAGCAGTTGAGGAGTGTCTCAGAAAACGTGGGACTAGGACTCAGTATTTATTTTGTTAAGACACTTTCCCTCTCTGATTCTGATTGGATAACATTACAGTGTACTCAGCAAAATCTGTTGCCTGATCCTTGGTGAAAGTCCCATGTTGCAAAATCGAAGGTGTTATTTGTCTTTATTGTGGCTTCTGAGTTATGGAATTTCCCTCCACCTTCTTTTTTTCAATAAGAGTGAGTTAGGTTTCACTTTCCAAATCAAGAACTATTTCTGGAAAAACAGAACTTTATTGCACATCGAAATTTTTAAAATAGATCTTTTATCTCTTACCTCCTGCAAAATAAAAATGTCAACTCTTAAGTCAAAGCCCTAAATACAGTTTTAAAATGAGTATGTCTTCAAATTGTGTTTTGGGTACATTTTAATTTGCAGCTTTAAGGTATGAATAAGAATATCTTACATTTATTCACTCTTTGGGTTTCAGAGATGTCATTTATTTTCTCATTTTATTCCTTCAACAACCCAGTAAGAGGATAGAAAAGTTATCTTCTTTTATATATACAAAAATAATCTTAGAGGTTAGATAATTGTTAGGTCATACAAAGGTCGCCATTCGTTTATTCTTACTGATGTTTTTTTCCTCAACATTTATTTTAAACTTTTATAATTAATTTTAGAGGCTAAGTAATTTTTTAAAATCCTGCCAAATAATTTTTAAAAATCCTCAGTAATAGCAATTTTTCATTTTTTGCAGGTAAAGCTAATTTTTGGAAACAGTAATTTAGCCAGGCTTATCCTTCGATCAAGTATTATAATAGGTTTGGTCTTCTTGCACAAGGTTAATGATAAAGGAACTGAAAAGTTTTAAAGAATTACAGAAATGTTTTGACTATTCATAGACTCATTAGAATAAGTGAATAGTCTCCAGTGTAACTATTTTGAGGGAAAACTTCTCATTTGAGTATCTGATTTCTGGTGTGTTAGTAAAAAAGTTTCATGTATTACAGTCAGTCTTTGAATAAAAACATCATTGGATAACATCAAGAATGAAGTAACAAAAGGACATGCCTAAAATAGAGTTATTGCAAAAACAAAGGATGCTTTTTGAAGAAATAAATTTAAAAGAGGGGGATGAGTAGAGACCGACCTTGGAAGAACAGGATGGAAACAGGTTGATTTAAGACACAGCTCTAAGAAGACTGTCAAATGCAAACAAAGGAAAAAGTGTTAGTCGTTGAACTGATAACAGCGATAACTGAAATTAGCATAATTTCAACTGGACGACAAGGGCAAAACTTGGTGTCTTATTTTATCATTAGTACTTGGCTGATTATTCACAGCAGATAACATCAGTAGGAAGCCAGGTGATACCTATATAGTGAAACGTATTGGGCCTGATAGTGAAGTTCAGCAGTATCTAAGTCTGATAGTGTTCTTCGCAAGTGATTGATAATGGAATCCAAGATGAAATACTGTTCCAAATGCATGCATCACCCTGCAATGGGAAATCTAATGCAGGTGATACTTGGAACCTAGGGAAATAAATATCTGGGAGGTCTTTTCATAGTCAGCTAGGCTGCAGCAGTGCAGAGACAGGCCAGAGAAAAGCAGGGCTTCTCTCATAGAATTAGGCTAATATACCTACCTTACAGGTACTGACCTGAAACTTGGCAAAGAGGCCAAGATAAAAGCTCATATCTGCGAACTGGGCACACTTAAGACTTGGAAGCTCAGGTGTAGGAACTCTGTCATCAGAAGAGTGAGTGCATTATTGCTTGGGGCAGGCAGAAATTGCTGGAATGCTGAATTTCACGTGGGTAAGTCTGTGGACTTCACTGTGGGAAACTGAAAAGACAAAAGGAAGGGAAGTGAGGCAGGAACTGGTAGAACCAAGAAGACTTTCACCTAGCAAAGAGGCTTTCTTCTGATGAGATAAAGGCTTACGAGGAACAGTGACATGGAGAGGCCTTCCCAATAGCTATTTGTGTGAAATAAAAATTGGACTATGAGTAAAAATGCCAAAAATTTTCAGAGAAATGTCTGACATCATGGATAGAAGAGGCTCTGAGCAGTTCAACATTAAACAATAAAAAATACATGGTGATAATTTTGCCTTTGTTAGTATCTAAATACTTGGCTAAGATGCCATCTTGCAAAGTAAAGAGGAGAGTTGAGGCATTTAAAGAAATGTCACAAAAACTGGTATAGAAGAATGCTAGCCAACCAGTGAGGCAGGTTGGTAGAGTCTCACACGGGTGGTATTACCTTGTTAGGATTCCACAAAAATCTTATCTTTGGTATTATAGGTCCAGAAAAATTCCCATTTTTTCCTAATCCAGAGTAAACATGTTCTCAAATAGTTAATTCTGCAAACCAAATCTATAAGAAACAAAGACACAAATTCAAAAGACAATTTATAGTGAGGACCTCTCAGTGACTGGGATGATTGGGTCTGGCATCCGAGCCACCCCTTTCCAGTATCAGCGTACCTGGGAAGTTGAATTAATAATCTGTCTCGTGAGCATAGAATTAAAACAAAGCACTCTTGTTTTTTGAATGTGGATCTGCTCAGGGAGAAGAAACTTTATAAGTGTGATCAATGTGGAGAAGAATTCAGAAAAAAAAATCAAATTTTTGGAGACAGTAGCAAACCAACGGTAATACTTGTTGCATCCACTGCCAAATTTATAAGAATCATTTTAATAAAAGTCTAAATTATAACTATTACATTCCTCTCAATTTTTGCAAGGCTTTTGGCATATTCACTTTCTTAGTATTTAGTAATCTGAGTCTAGTTTCAGAAAAAAAAACAAAAACAAAAAAAACCAGGAGTTAAAGAAGTATCCCATCTTTAGTTTCAGTTTCAAAGGCTGTTGGTTAATCTTTAAGCCTCTATTTGTGGCATCAGGCCAAAAGAAACAGTGCACTGACAGACTTGTTATAGATTCAGAAAAAAATGCTTTCCGAGAAATTAATGTGCTTAGAAGAAATTTCCTAAAAAGTAAGGAGTTGTTGTTCAGTGATTTTTGTAGAATGGGAATCCCCACAGCCGATGTACAATAATACTCCTTGGAAGGTATGGGAGAGGAGTGCAAAGTTTTCCCTTTCATAATTTTAACTGAGCTTCCCCAAGTTTCCCTCAGCTCCCAGTGCCTAGTAATACTGGTTACATACTTTTGAATTACCCATTTGTCCCATCATTCACTGCTAGCCTGAGCAAAGTGCAGAGTGGGTGGTAGACCCTTACAAGTGTCGTGCTTGGGAGAGCTGAGAATAGCTTCTGTTTGGACACATTTTAGATCATGCAATGCTTTGCTTTCCTCACACTTGATGGGATGATGTGATGGGCTGGGAATCTAGAGATACAGTATATAGTTCTGTCTCTCACTTGCTCTGTGAACTTGAGCAATCATATTTCAGTTTTCTTAGCTTCAAATGCACATTATGATACCTAACCCATTCATCTTTCAGGTTGCTGTAAAGATAACAGGAGATTAAAAGGACATTTTAAAAAGTCTAAATGAATTTTCTAGTGGCCAGCATTTAAAAAATATAGCCTTTGGAGAGATGCCGAAGAAATGGTGGCATAATTATGCCACTACTTTTCTGAGTTATTTCTTAGTATGAAATTTTGGGAATTGTCCAAGAATATTAAATTGTAGCAATATTTTGACAACATAGTGATCGATGAGTTTAAATCAACATACTGCTCAGAGAGGGTCATTGAGTTGTTAATCCAGAGATCAAAGAACTGAAGGGAGAGAGATGGAAAGATTATGGTTAGTGAATTAAATTGATTAGATGAGATGGTAGGAGATAAAACCAGAGGAGAGGCAGAGAAGAAATAAGGATGTAGGAATTGGTTTCCTTTCCTTGTCCTCCCTCCCCATTTCACTGTTTCCATGTTTCTTTTTTTTTCATGTTCTATTTTTTCTCTCTTGTTTCTCTCTTCACTCCTTTACCCTCCCTCTCCTTTTTTTTCTCTCTCACCTCTCTTTTTTCCATTTCTCTTTTCTCTTTGTTTCTGTTTCTTTCTTCATATCTCCAGTAGAGCAGGTCGACTGTGGATTAAGCTATATTGACAAATCCAAATATAGAGGATCTCAAGTTGCATGGTTCTTAATACAAAGAGTTGAAGGATGGCTTGTTTCCATATTAACTGTCTGCATAAACTGCTTAGTATTAGAATTTATTTTATTAAAAATAATATATTAAAATTAATACTTACGGTATGCTTTTTTTTTGCACTAGGCGGTGCTTTTTAAAAAAAATTTATCGTATTTAATTTTAACAACCACTCTGTATGGCGTACTTGTTTTTTGATAAGCTAAAATAGGATTCCATAAGCAAGGTGTGCATTCAGATCGTGTTGTTTCAGAGCCTCTTAACCACTCTGCTCTACTGCTGTGAGTTGCTTTCATCATCAGCCTCTATTGACAAAATCTGTGGTATCAATCAACAAATTAAGGCACCTGGTCATCTTAAATTAGTAGCTTTGTAACCCTTTATTGTCAGAGCACCAGTAATCTGAGAAGGCAGCAGGTTAACACCTTCAAAAACTCCCTTACTTTCTCAGTCTGGCTTAGGATATTTAAGGGAAAATCTGGGCCTTATTCCAGAGGCTGCGTGATGGTTTCCCGGGGGTCTGTTGTGCTTCATGGAACCTTCTCTCTGTGGCCCTCTGGTTAGCAACCCAGGAACAAAGATGGAAGTAGTCCGGAAAGAATGTTAGACTATAAAGGTTGTGATCAGTAAGCATAAGGGCATTAATCATGTTTCAGGACAACTTTCAGGACATTCCCAGCTCTGGGTCAAGCTGCAGAGGACAATCTATCCTGAAGCTATAGTGCAAGGAAAGGTGAGGCCGGGGTCGCTGTGAGGCCTCTACTATGGGGGTCCCAACCCAGCCCTTTTTCAGCATCCGTTGTCCTTCAGGAAGAAGCAGATTCTCTTGCTGAAAAGGCTGTCACTACTATAAATTAGAAAGCCACAAGTATTTGAAGTGTTCTACGAGCATTATTCAATACAACACGTGCCAACTATACACATGTGAAGATCA